ATATATATTAAAATCATAATGTTACTATAATCAAGAAAATGAAACACTTAACTTTTGTTTGCAACTCTAGTGCCTTAACTTAAGTACTTAACTTTAGATCTAAGCTCTGTGTACGCGCACTTCTAGCCAGCGTGGGGCCTGATGTACTACTCTAACTACTACTACTAGCACAACCACCACCGCAACCACAACCAACAACAACCACTACCATATACTAGTCCGGGGCATAACTCTATGCTTAACGTCTGTCTCATCTACCCACACACACACACACACACACACACATATATTAAACTCTCTCTCTAGTATTTAATTGAATAATGAATTGCAACGATTTGAACAGCGACTAAGCCAAATGCCAAATACCAAGTCCAAGTCTCCACCCACTACCACGTATACATATATAAAACCTAAAGATATATATTAATGTGTATTTAACAGACTTAATCTATAAGCTTAATACGGTTCTGGTATCAGTAATACATATGTTTAATATAATAATATCTCTCTAGACTAGTAAGATGAATACTTGTGTAACGTTCTATAAAATTGCATTTGCATTCGCTTACAAATCCTGATATAACTTCGCACACACATACACATACACTCACATACAGAACTATACAAATACAAATTACTAAATTGATTCTAATGCCATGCTGAAGAATGTCTCTGATTACGAATATTTGAATAAAAACAAATTCCCCTACATTCAATTTAAAACAATGTAAATAACGCTTTACCTTGGCATTTTTTCCAAAAAAAAAGACTATTATTTAAACAAATTGATAGCCAATGCACCTGCAATTTTATTATTATTTTTTTTTCTCTAATCTTTAAATTTTTTTTATACTCTTTAGCATTTACATATGTATAAAAAACCATAAAAATATCAAATGATATGTGATGTAATATTATTGCTAATTTCAACTAACCAAAGGCCAAGTTAACTAAACAAAGAAATTAAAAGTAAAAGAGCAAAACAAAACAAACCAAAAATGGAACGTACAAAAATAATACAAAAAAAAAAAAAAAAAAGGAAATAAATATGTACGTTGTTTTTGTAAATTACTCGTGCAATTCCTTTGCAGCGTCTTGAATAACCAATAAATGTCTCTTAAATAACAGTTTGATAAAACAATAAACAATAAACATTTAATACACTTAGATTTGCACTATCGACGATTTAGTTTGTGTTTGTTGTCTACATCAACCGAAAATGTAGTAATCTCAAGTACTGCAAACAGAATGTTTTTTCATTTTATAGATTTTATTTATTGTTGAGAAAATCAATTTGTTTTGTTGAAAAAAAAAAAAAAAAAAAAAAAAAAAAAAAAAAACAGTAAATGAATCCAAATAAAAAAGAAAACAAAAGTTACTAAACGAAATCTTGGCCTGCATGTTGTGTGCCCTGCTCTTAATTGTCTATTTACTGTTCTACACATTGCATACCATAAATACCATTTATTTTAACTATACAGAGAGATATATATATGCCCGCTTTCATTTAGTAACTTTTTGTGTGCTCATAATTCGCATATTATATTATTTATATATAGTTTAGGTATTTCAATTATGAAACACCATAAACGATTTAACTAACTGCTAACCATTTATTAATACTCAATTTCCATTTCTATGACTTCTTTTATTTACATGCTAACCAAAA